AAAAAAAAAAAAAAAAAAAAAAAAAGGACTAAGCATTCTTGTTCAGAGAGGCATCTTCGATACCCTGCAGTAACTACCATAGGAGACATAGTCAGTCCTCCACATCCATGCATTCTGCATCCATAAATTTAACCACCCACGCGTTGAAAATATTCAGGGGGAAAAAACTATATCTGTATTGAATGGGTACAGAGTCTGTCATTCTTCCAAAACTAATGCAATATAACAACTATTGACAAAAAAAACCCCAACTATTGACAGAGCATTTATATTGTGATAGGTATCACAAAGATGATTTAGAAGAAAAATGTGGGTTATATACAAATGCTACGCCATTTTATATAAGAAACTTCAGTATCCACATTCTTTGGGAACCAATTCCTAAATTACTAAGGGATGACTGTATTCAATAAATGTTATGCAAATCAGCTGTGATATGGAGTTATTATATGAGAAGGTAGAAACACAATAAAATCTCTAATCACAGCAAGCATTTAATATAAACAGTACTGTTCAATATTACCCTCATTTTAAAAATTAGGAAACTGAGACTCAGAATGATAAAATATCTTGCCAAGGCCACAAAGCCTATAAAGAGGCATAGTTAGGATTCAAACTCTGATCAGTACAGTTCTAGAACTCAAAGTATTTCTACTGCATGGCACTGCCTCCAAAAAATCCACACAAATCAAGAGAGGAAGGAGACAGAAAGCAAGAATAAAGCAAGAACCAAACCAGAAAAGAAAATGGACTAGTTCTTTGGAAGCATCCAATTTCACTGGATGTATCAAGTTTCCTAGGGTTACCTATAACAAAGTACCATAAACTGGGTGACTTCAAATGATAGAGATATAGTCTCTCACAGTTCTGGAGGTAGACACTGAAATCAAGTCCAAATCAAGGTATTTACAAGGCCATGTTCCATAAAAAGCCTGTTGGGGATTTTTTTTTTCATTTTTTTAAAGACACAGTCTCGCTAAATTGCTCAGATTGGGCTCGAACTTGTGATCCTCCTGCATCAGCCTCCTAGTTTTGCTTGGCTTACTTACCTGTGCCACCAGGCTGGGCACTTTCCTTGCCTCATTTAGCTTCTGGTAACTCAGGCAAACCTTGACTTGTGGCAGCATAAATCTAATCACACTTCCACTTACATATAGCCATTTTCCCTGTGAAAAATTTCCCTCTTCTTAAAAGGACATCCACAGTCACACTAAATTGAACACTCACCTTAATTGAGTATGACCTCATCTTAACTGTTTAGATCTGCAAAGATCCTATTCTCAAATAATGTCATTCTAAGGTTCTCAGACGGGAATTTGGGGAAGGAGAGCACTTTTCAACTCAGAACACTAGGTTGATAAATTTTCTCATTTGAAAAATGGCAACAATAATATCTATCTCATGATAGGGGGAAGCTTAAATTAATTTATTTATGTTCAATGTTCTTAGAAAGGTGCCTGGCACACAAGAACTGTATGAATGTTAGTTGTCACGGTCAGCATTCGTAGTAGAAGAGTAACAGGACACGTTTCGGGTCTTTGATTTAGTATCAGAGTCCTTGGGATTTGGGAACCGCAAGGGCTGATTTTGCGCCCTAAAATTCCGAGCACAGAGGCTTTGAATTAACCCCATTATTTTCGGGGCACGACAGTCAACCTCTGTGAAGAGAGGAAGGAAGCCTACAAAAGCGGGAAAAGAATAAGGAAAGTTATACCCTGGGTTTAACACATGGAAGGTGTTGTTCAGAGGCTCCTCTCCGGAAGAGGAGAGACAGCAGCAGTAAGCCGGAGCCTGGAGCGGTGTGAGAGGAGCATTGACTGAGGAACGTCCGGCAAAGTAAGCAGCTGGGCAAGGCCAACCCACCGGGATAGAAAAGCCGGGCAGCCGAGGGCGGAGTTGGAAGGAAGGGGGGCGGCGAGCCGCAAACAGGCACCGCCCCCGCCAGGACCAACTCACCCCTTGCTGCCGGCCCCTCCTAGTTTCGGCCGCTTTTTGCGTCGCTTGCGACCGGACGCGGATCCCCCGTCGATGCCAGCATCAGTCCCGGACAGGTAACGCTTCAGGTACTCGGCCTTGGAGAGCAGCGGAGCTGCCGCCATAGCAGCAGCGAAGGCGAAAAGACGACTCGGTGTTGGGGACAAAATTCTTGAACGCGAAACAGAAGGCTAAAGCCCGAAGGGAGGGGCCAGAAGCGGAAGTGGCTGAGGATTCCGTTTGATTCGCTGGTATCGCGTTGGTTAGCAAGCCTGGAACGCTTATACCTCGGCTGTCCAGTTTGTTCTATGACGAGGGAGTCGTGTTTGTGCTCTGTCCATCGTCCAACATCCTTGATGCTACACAAGCTGACCCCCAAAAAAAGTCCCCTGTCCTCAGCGGTTTCAGGCCGTCTGTGTAGTAAACAAAGTAGACTCTTTTTTTAGCTTTTTGAGATAAGGTCTCACAGTGTAGGCCAGGCTGGCCTTGAACTTGGTGTGTTGCCCACGCTTTCCTCAAACTCGCAATCCTCCTGCCACATCCTCCGGTGTGCTGATTTTACAGGCGTGCACCATACATTTTCTAGTTGTACGACCTACAGTAAGTTTTTATTTTTTTAAATAAAAGAAAGTGGGTGATAATGAATGGTTGCGAGGACCGAGATACTAAGTCAAGTGCTTAGAACAGGGTCCATAGTTACCTTTTCTGTATAAGCATCTTTAGGTGAATGGGAATCCCCTCGAAGTTTTCCAGGTACATTCAAGAGAGGAAGTCAGCAATGCCAAATCCAATATGACTGAAAAACACTAGGTTTCTCAAGCCTGTGTGACTTCCCCACGTTTGATATTGTAGAGGCACATCGACACTGAACAACTAGGCCACACACCGAGAGGTCTGACAGGAGACTTTATTAGGGGAGGCAAGTCAGGGAGAGAGAAAAGGGAAGGAGAGGAGGAAGAAGAGAACAAAAGAAGGTCCTTTATTGGTTTTGGGCTGGGCTATTGCTTATTTATGAGTGGGCTACTTTTAACCTATCACAGGTCAGGTTGCTTTTTATGGGTTCAGTACTGCAGAAACTTAGGTTTGACTCCTCGGGACTGCTGTGGCCTTGGGGGGAGGGAAACTAAAGATAAGAGCATGAGGTCATTTTTAAGAGCCAAGAAGGACCAGGAAAATTCAGCCTGTGATGGCATCAGGTCCCTAACAGGTATTACTGACAACTCCTTGTCACATAATGAAGGAAATTGTGTAAAATCTTCCCAATGAAATGGTCATGGATTTGTTCACAGCATAACAAGGGACGCTAGAGATTGAATTCTAGTATTCAAGCTTTGGGGGAGAAGACAGACGGGGGTAGTGGTAGGGCAACCACTTTATTTGTTCAATTCTTAACAGTTTTCAGATAGGTTTATGTCCTTACAGATGATAAAAAAAGCTTTGCCAGTTGAAAGTATATTCGTCAGATAGGCGTGCTTTGTAAATAATATTGGGATGCATGTTCAAAAGTTTATATACAGAGCCGGGGATTTAGCTCAGCGGTTCAGTGGCCTGCCTTGCAAGCACAAGGACCCAAGTTAAAAAAAAAAACAAACAAAAATTTATATACAAAACAGGCTTGGGATTACAACTTTGAAGCATCAATTTTTTCAGTGCTGGGGATTGAACCCAGGACCTGGTACATGATGAGCAAATGCTCTACCACTGATCTACATACCAGCCCACAGCATAACATTTTTAACCACTGGGCTACACTGGGTGGCTGCAGCACAGGCCAAGAAAGGAAAGCAGGCTGTCTCTGAGAGCTTGTGAGAGGGACACCCTGGACAAAAAAATAGCTTCACCACCTGGAGGACCCCCAACAGGTTTCCAATGAGGAACCCCAGCTTGGTTTCTAGTTGGCTCTGGTGTATCTGAAACTGAACTCCATCCTACTGTAAGGGGGCAGTTGGAAAGGCTCACAGTTTTCTGCTCCAGGGCACAGCCCCACTGGCCACCATCAGGCTCATTCCTGCCTATTTGTCTTAAATTCCATTCCACCTACTGATAGCCTCAGGCTGACAAGACCCAAACTCATGTCCCAACTCCATCACACAGGGCAGCTAAGCAGGATCAGACGAGCATGTGCTTAGTGGACAATCTGAGTTTTGCCTTTTCCCTGCAGTTGCAGCTAATAAAATATGTACAGTAATGGGCTGGGGATTTAGCTCAGTGGTTCCACCGCCTGCCTCACAAGCTCAAGGACCCGAGTGTGATCCCTGGTACAAAAAAAAAAAAAAAAAAAAACACACACACACACACACACACACACACACACACACACACACACACACAGAGTAATTATGGGCTTGTGTTCAAAATACCCCGAACTGGCCTGGGTTCGAAGCCTGCCCCATATCCTTCTGGAGATTACCTAACCTCTTTTAGGTTGTTTCCTCATCTATAAAATGGAGATAATTTGTAAATCTTCCCCAAAAGGAAGCAGAAAAAGAAACACTTTAGAATTTCTGAGGATTCTATGAGAAATTAAATAAAACCCTTCAGAGCTCACTTCATCCTCACAAAAACTATACAGTGTTCACTAGTGTGCCCATTTTACAGACCAGGAAACAGAAGCATCAGAGATGCTGAACTAAACTCTGAGATGGGCACGCAAACTAAGCATCAGCTCTTTCCTCTTCACAGGTGAAAACTGCCATTTGCCTGTAAAGAGAAGTGTATAAAATGTTTTTAAAATAAGAATAAAGCCAAGGAGTTTAATACCACTACCCTAAATTTAAGCACAGGCTCCCTTCCCTGCAATGTGCTAACAGACAACTGACTTGCCGCAGGTGTAGAGGGAGAGTGGGGTGGGGTTGTAACAAGTCTTCTTACCATTTCTGAAGCTTCCAAATAGCCCAATCAGGTGCCTTTCCTATCTGTTCCCACCACACACACCTGTCATGACACCAGCGTACGTGCATCAATACCCACCTCTGGCTCACAGGGCTAAAGTACTTACCAAGCTTGGATTATGAAGTAGGAGGCACGATCTTAGAAATGGACCTTGTATTACAATCACAAAACTTTCTACTTAAAATTTTATTCTGAAAAGCTGTAACTGAATCTACGTTTGGGCAGGCACTTTTGACTGTCTTACTTTCCCTGACCTTAGAGCAGGACTTTCTTTACCTTATTACCTACATATGTTCCTTTCAGTGCTCTAACAGGACTCAGTCTAAAACAGATGATTCATAATCTGGGGCTTATATATTTTACAACAGTTTTATTAGCCATATGCCATACGCTGGGGACTGTAGGGCAAAACAATTAACCAGATAAAAGCTAATAGACTCTGAGAAATGAGAATGAGTTGAGAAGTACTTCAAGACAATGTTCTGAAATAAGGATGCCAGGCCCTGGCCCAAAGATCAGAGGGTACATTAGCTGGATTGTCCCAGTCTGGACCCTGGTCCTCAGAAACTGCAGTTTTAGTAACTCAGGTTATCACTTCCCAGTAATTCGATGGAGTCTGAAGTTATAAACCAGAGTACCATTCTGACCCTTCAAAATGGGAAAACATGACATCAGTGGCCATCTTCATAAAGCAACGTTCCCCTTGGAAAATCCATTCAAGAGACCAAATGCCAGATTAGAAAGCAGTCCAATAAACTCAGATTCTCAAGTCAGTTGGGAACACAGCTAGTCTCTTAAATAGAATACCTGCATACAAGATGCCTAAGTACTATATAGCTTTAAAGTTTGTGTCACTTGCTAACGTCTCTAAACTTCTTCAAACACCTCACTTAACTAAAATTATACATACAGGTATGGAAGCTAGTCCTAAATGATAGATGTCAAACAATCCACTATGGAAAGGTGTATGAAAGCAGAACCTTAGGAAACAAATACCTTTGGAGAAAGGAGGCAGATTGCAAATAAGGAATGATTCTTTAGAAAATCAAACACCAAGGAAAGGAGTGAAAGAGCTAGTCCGCTGAAATGCCAGAGAAACAAAATAACAATGACATTTTCCAAGTAGAAAATCACTGGAGATCTTGGTGTAATAAGATTGTTGTCATCTTAGTAATATCTCAATTAACTTGTCTTTACTGAACAAATACTGTGCAGCCAGCACAGCAGGTGTCACCTCTTGCCCTGAGGTCCTTCATTTCCTAGCGACTACAGGCAGCCCTCAGGTTCCCATATTCTACAGCACAGGGCTTTTTTTGCAGTTCACAGCAAACCTGGAAATCTCTTCCTCTGGCTACACGGGATAAGGGATGCTTCCCTCCCTTCCTTCCTTCTCAGCTCTGCCTAAATGTCAAATTGTCAGCTTAATGAACTTTTCCCCCAGCACTGTACTTGAAACACCCACCCTCACCTCCCTACCACCGCCCACACCCCTTCCCTGCCTGACATTTCTCCTGAGCACTAATCACCATTTGACATGCCCTTCTGCTTATCTGTCAGTTTTCTCCACTAGTTTTTAAACTCCATAGAAGCAGATTTCTTTTGTCCACTGTTCTGAGATGTGCCTGGCATAAAGTAGGCAGAAAATATCTGTTGAATGGATGAATTAAATGCTACCTCCAATCACCAAGGTAGTGGTTACAACAGGGAAATTTTTCTTTAGAAAGCTGAATTCTAACAGCATGATATCCAACAAGACAAAGAAATGAAGAGGCCAGTGTTGTTTGAAAGCCATCATCTTAATAACGTCTTCACCTGTGCTGACTTCTCCTCTCAGAATTGTTCTGGAAAGCTAGGACTTTATATGCCCCAAACCAATTCTGAAATCTCGACTTGAAATGCCTTTCATCTTTGCCAACTTCAGAGTTCCAACCGTATAGGAAAAAAGTGATGACAACGTGCTTTTGGTTCACTTCTGCGTTTCTTCCCAGACCAATTCAAAACCTCCAAAATAAGGTCAAGTAACACACAGGCTTGTACTTCCATCACAAGCTGTTAGATCTAGGAAAGTCTTCCTAGATCTCTAACACCAGCTAAGTGTTCTCCCCAGCATGGGAAGGGGTGGGGAGGACACCCCAGTTTTATTCCATCAGTAATAAACAACCCTGTGGTATGAGATGTACCGGAGCTGGCTGAGAGCCTGCTGCTACCGCTGTGGGGACAGGCCTGCCTCATAGCCCTCTGTCTTCATGTCATTGAGCCCTAGCTCCTCATTCTGGTCAAAGGTGCGCTTGTAATGCTCCACCTTCATCTCTGGGTCATCTTCAGGTGCATACACGTTCTGCAAGGACAAGGGCAGACAATCAGTGCCTGTGCCACCCTGCCACTCCCCCGATGAACACAGCTGCCAACTGCTACTTTCCTAAGAACTCAGTGAGTTTTGTTCTCTTTAAGGCTCAAATCCCCAACGGCAAGGCTCAGCCAGCGTGAGATAGCCTGGCCTCAGACAGAATCAGAGAAGTTATCCTAAAGCATTTTATATCTGCACTTTTCTTGAGAAAAGTGTGGTAATGGTCTTAATTATGGAAAGAACTTAGAATAGTTTTACTTCACCCATAATAAATGCGCAATAAATGTTAAAGTTCCATCAGTCACTACACTATCTCTTCAGCCAGAGCTGGAGCCCTCTTTGTTTTCCTATCTTAGCCTCTGGACAGGGTACCATTTCTTCTCATTCCATAATCAGATTTGCAGAATGAAAATTCCATAGTTTGACTATAGGAAGAAAGAGGCCAAGAAATATCCTGTTTTTCCTTCTTTACACACACCTAAAACCCCTCCCTCCTTCCCTCTTTTCTCCTTTATCCTCTAATTTGTGCCAGAAACTCCCTGATGAAGAACAATTCACTCAGCATCAATCTTTCGGTTTCTGGGAATATGATACATGTTTGAAGATCACAAAATTGATTCCTCATGAACATTTGAGAAGGTCTACTGTACCTGCAAGTAACTGTTTCCTGCTGGATCATTCATAATAAAATGGGCCTTCATGCCACCCTCAATAATCTACAGAAGAGAGAAAGAACACAAGTAAACCTTTCATAGCTCCTGGTAGGAAGAGGATATGACTGCCAGAGAAGGGCCAACCCAACTTACTCTGCAGATTCCTCAAAGTTTAAGAACTGTAAAATCAGATACCATAGAAGTGAAGTAAAAGGATCTAATAGAAGGTCTGTTTGAAAGCTATTCAAGAAGCAATTCAAGCTGGGAGTGCTGGTGCACACCTATAATCCCAGTACACCCAGGCTGAGGCAGGAGGATCACTGTGAGTTCCAGACCAGCCTGGGCTACACAATGAGTTCCAGGTCAGTCTCAACTACATAATAAGATCCTGTCTCAAAAAAAACAGAAGAAGAAGAAGAAGCAATTCAACATCCTCAATTCATCCCCTATTCCAAATGGCCGATTGTTTTTGTTACTCTGAAGACGTTCCACAGCAAGCTATGGACTGGGAGACACTGGTCCAGTTGAGGGCAGAGGAACCGAAAATAAGGAAGTTAAGTCAATGCACACTTTTTGGAAATAAGCCCTCTTCCCACACACAGTTCTCAGAACACTGCCAGCCATGTCTTCTTCCTCAGGACAAAGGGAAACAGCCACTGATGGGAATCTGATCAGCGCAAGAGAAAAGCCCTAACAATTCTGACACTTAGGCTTGAGTAGACCTGCCTCAACAAAATGGCTAAGCTAACACCCTTTTCAGTGAGCCACATGCCAACAAGACTGACACCCCCCCACTGGGGCTTTTAGTCCTCTTACTTGAAAATAGACCATCAGTAATTACCAGACGTGAACAAAGCCCCTAATGCCAAAGGACAGAAAATCAAATGGGTTTAAAACAAAGGCAAATAACTTACATGGAAACTAGGGTAGGAAAATACATTAAAACAAGCAAATCAAAAAACCCTAGCCTGAAAAAAAAATACTGCATCTTAAAACAGAATGCTATTTTGAAAAGGCATTGGAAGGATAGTCAACAACTGGAGTGGGGGGGGGGCAGTGTTAGAAAATAAAGTTGAAGAAATCTCCCATACTACAGTAAAATGCCAAGAAACTGAAACTGGTATAAAAATATAAGTAAATTATACACAACCGGACAAATAAATCTAACATCTAAAAGACAAAACAGAGAAATCAGAGAAAAGGCTATCTTCAAGAGAATAATTCAAAGGGCTGGGGATTTAGCTCAGTGGTTCCATCACCTGCCTCGCAAGGACAAGGTCCCAAGTTCCATACCCGGTACCAAAAACAAATGAAGAGAATAATTCAAGAAAGCTTATGAGAACTAACTCACATGAATTTCCCACATTAAAAGAACCTACAAGTACTTAATATGATGGTTGAAAATTGACCCATATGAAGGCACATCCTCAATTTCAGAGGACAAAGAGATCATAAAAATAGATCACACTGTAAAGATAAAGAATCAAAATGGCTTCAGACTTCTCTCAAACTAAAAAATGGAAGACAGCAGTGTTATGTTTTCAAAGTTTTGATGAAAAGTTATTTCTCTCCCACAATTCTAATTCCCGCCAGCAATCTATTTACTATAAGGGTAGAATAAAGAAATTTTCAAGTATTCTTAGTACTCTGGGAAGCTGAGGGAGGAAGATCACAAGTTCAAGCAAGATCCTGCCTTAAAATAAAAATTTTAAAAGGGCAGGGAATGTAGGGCTCTTCAGTACAGGGGTAGGGGGAACGGGAGGAAAGGAGGAGGTAAGGGGAAAGGGAAAGAAAGGAAAGGAAAGGAAGAGAGAATGAGAGAAGAAGGAAGGGAGGGAGGGAAAAGGAAAAGAAAAGAAAAAAATTTTCACACACAGATCCTAGAAATTTTATTTCCCATGCACTCTTTCTCAGGAGGCTCCTTGAGAAGATGATCCAAGAAAATAAGGGGGAAAACTAAGAAAAAAGATAACATGACACACAGGAAACCAGAAGAGCCTCCAACGTGATGGACGTTCAGAGAGGCAAGAAATGGGTATGCAGCCTCCTCACAGGAGCCCTGGGACAGGACGAACTGGCCAGTGTCTGCTCACCTGGTCCAACTTCTGGCTAAATTCCTGCAATTTCTCCGACTGGCCTGGACTGGAACTATCACCCAGTGTGAAAGGGTTCTTGGTCACCTATAATAAATGACATGCAAATTGCTAGAATACTGTACTAGCTTTATGGCTATTGGGCTTGACCGCAACAAGGTGGGGAGAGGCAGTGGCTAGCCAGCTGGAGAAGCTCAGCCTTCATCTCTCCCATACTGCCTTGCTGACCCAGGCAGCCACTCCTAAGAGTCTATGAGCTCAATCTCCAAGAAAGCAAAACTGCCAATGTGAAAACAAAATCTAGAAAAGTATTAAAATATCTAATCCTAATTTAGAAAAGAAAAAGTGTATTTTCCCACAACTAAATGCTGATAATTAAATCAACTAAGTGAAATTATTCATCAAGAAATTAAATATACAGTCATCTCTAGGCATCTGCCAAAGGTTGGTTCCAGGACCTCCCCCTTAGATACCCAAATCCATGGATACTCAAGGCCCTTATATAAAATGCCGTATTTACACAGAACCTATACATCCTCTTATATATTTTAAATCATCTCTAGATTACTCATAATACCAAATATAATGCTATGTAAATAGTTATGTTCAGTGTATAATGACAAGGAAATCAGTATTTAAAAGAGATACATTTTCTTTCTCTGATATTTTCCAAGAATGTGGCTGGATATAGAGGGTTGACTGTACAGACTAAGTCAAAACACAAATATGTGTGTTAGGGAGTTTTAGATGCTGAAAGGCTCCTGATCTTCTATTTTATAGAGAAATAAATGACTTATCCATAATCAGAAAATAACTACATTATCTGAGAGTCAGGCCTGGGAAATTCCATTCAAAATTTCCCATAAACTTCTCTTCACAATCCAAATATTTAAATCTCTTAAACCAGCTTTAAGGGAAAGAAATCCCCAGTTATTAGCACTGAAAACTAGGATGTTTAAGGTCTTTAAGACTCCTGTCCCACACTACATTGCTGAAGGAAGCTGTACACTACATCCAGAGGACTCACCAGCTCCCGGATGTCTTTCAGCAGCCCTTCCAGGGTAGTGAACTTGCCCCCTAGGACAGCCATTCCCAGCTCAAATTCCAGCTCTGGGATTTCCACACTACATGTTTCAGACTGTAAAAGGAAAGGGCAAATTAAGATTTAAATCAGGGGCTAGGGGTGTATGTACCTCAGTGGCAGAACACTTGTCAAACATTCTAAAGACCCTGAGTATGATCCCCAGCACCACCAAAAAAAAGAGAGAAATCGAGAAAGGGGGAGAGAGGGGGAAGAGGAAAAGGAGACAGGAGAGGAGAGGAGAAGGGAAGCGGGGAGAGGAAAAGGGAGGGGAGGAGAGATGAGGGAAAGGGGAAAGAAAGAAAATTGAACCAGGGACAAAGAAAATCAGAGACCTTCTGGCAAATTAATACCATCAGAGCACCAATAGCAGGCTGGGGATAACATCAGCTGTCCCAGTTTTCTCTAATTTCCCAGTTAAAGGTATAGATTCACTCCTATCCATCTGCACCACTGAAATGAAACCAACTTAATAAAGAGAAATTGTGAGTCATAGCTCCACACCATCAGGTACCCTGTCATTAGGGGTCAGAGAAAAGGGCCTGTGTAGTGAGTGGAAGCCAAAAAGCTGCCAACTCATCAATCAGAAAGAGCCTTTCGGCTGCCTCCTGGATCTGCAATTCCAACCACGTACTAATCCTACTCAAGGATCCTCAAACTCAGAAAAAAGGTACCATGTGTCTTTGGGTGTTATTTTATTTTTGTTTTGTTTTTGGTACACAGGATTGAACTTAGGACTTTGCACTTGTGAGGCAGGCGCAGTGCCACTGAGCTAAATCCCCGGCCCCCTGGGTGTTATTTTTAAAATTTCCCTGAGGCAGCAGTGTGAGAACAGTCACTTTCCCAAGCGGGTTGTTACCTTGAGGAGGTCTCTGGTCATGTCTGAGGGATCTGTGATGAGGAGCGTGATCCTGGTTCCCAAGGGCTCCACTGCTCCTCCAGACTTCACCTACACAGACAACAGTCAGGAGCAGGGACAGAGAAAAGACCCTGACCCTCCCTTGGGTGTAGGAAGCCTGAGGACTTACAGAGGCCTGGACCTCCATTCCAACTACTGATAGTTTTCAATCTAAACCAACAGTGGCAGCAGTGACCCAAACCACAAATATTGAGAGCTGGCAGGACCAGAATGCCCAGCCCCTCAAGCATGCCAAAACTTAGCCCTGAAACTCTGAATTTATCTTTTTAAAAAAGCCTTGGGGCCAATGATGTAGCTCAGTGACTCCATGCCTGCCTTGCAAGTACAAGGTCCTGAGTTCGATCCCCAGTACCAAAATAAAAAGTCTTAACTCTTGGGTGTTAAAAGACTTTGAAGCATTTACTCTAGTCTTTTTGTCCACTGCATCCAATGCATGGACCCCCTTTGTAATATCCTGGTCCAAGAATATAATCAACTTATGCTCAAATATATGTGAGGAAAGCCCAATTCTGAGACAGCTCTATTAAATTCTTCATTATGGAGTCAAAAAATGGCTCCCTGAACTCCCATTCCTCTGGGAAGTGAGTCAAAAGGCTTCTCTCTTCCATATAACAACCTTTCACATGTTGAAATGAGTTATGGTATCCCTGACTTTTCTTCTCTAGGGTAATTCTCAGATCCTTAAAGGCTTCCTCACTCTCTCTAAGCCTAAATGAAAGCCCCAGCCCACCCTATCCCACCAACCTGAACCAGATTTAGGAAGAAGTTATAAAGGGATAACCCTTAAGCCAATTTTCCTTCCAAAAGATGGAGGTTCACCCACCTCATTGGTCCGATGACCACAGTTCTCACAGATGGTGGCCATGATGATAACCTCTTTAAAGTGGGGGATTTCTAGAAGACGGAGGGAGTTAAGGAAATCTGCTTCCAGGACAGCAAAACCACCCACTAGGGAAAAACAATGCCAAAACCTACATAAACAGATGCTAGTCCCAAGACTGCAAGAAATGTATCAGGAGGGGTCCTAAATCTGAGAGTCCTCTAGGAGACAGTTCTCTTCCCAGATCATAGTTGCCTGTTTCAACACACAGCTCAGACCATACACAAGAGCCTTGAGACCATAGCCTAATTTTTTCTTTGAACTCAAGAGCCAAAATACATGGTCTAAACAAAGGCAACATCCTCCTTATTATGGGGAATAAAGCATTTGTTCCCTTGAAAGGATGCTCATAGCCTAAATATAATCTCCATGCCTGAATCAAAAGAAAAGCAACCCGACTGCTTGACAAAAGATACGTACTAGCTTCATATTGGTCTGAGCTGGGGCATTGCATTCCGGGCAGTTTGTGTTGAACTGGAGCACCTGTGACATAATATTGGGACAAAGTATGAGCCCTCTCTGGCTCAGGGTAGAGATTCAATTGGGATGCTAGTGGTCAACCATGTTGGTGATGACGAAGAGAGACACTGACAAATATAAATCTCAGCCCACAACTCTACTCCTTCCTCAACAGCAGCCAACATGACTCACTTCATTTCTGAGATCTTCTTCCAGCTTTTCTTCTGGTGCTTCTGCCTAAGAGAGAAGAAATGCAAATCACAAGTTGGCAGGTAAACCTCAGCATCCCCAACACCCGACTCTGGAGTAGGAAAAAACACCTTTGCTTAATTCTATTAGGTGTCACACCTCATAGGCTAGACAGAGAAACCAAAAGGCAATGCCCCAACAAGGGGATGGGGCTCAAGACAGAACCACAGCCGCTGCCCCCACTTCTGTAAAGTTTACCCTAAGTCCTGAAATGAGCTACAAGACAGAGCACATAAATAAGGATGGCAACAGCAACTAAATAATGTTCCACTGACTCCAGGCAACCCAGAGCGCAAGTTAATTCTAAAACATTCTTCTGGCTCTTTAGTCTACTTACTTGGAGCCCCAGCATCTCATCCTGCTGTAGGGTCCGGTTATAGTGCGTGATCACCAGGGCATCATCTTTCTGGGGAGCATGTGGGTTTTCTATAAAGCTATTCCCTGAGGGATCATCGATGATCTAACAGATGAGTGAAAACATATTCATTTAATAAAAACTCATACACAACCCTCCACCTACCATCAGACCACAGAGAGAAATCCCAGATAGTCTTAGTATCTCTACCCGCTTCACCGAAAGCAACTACAGAACCTCATTACTCACCAGAGTGAAAGGGGAGGCCACGTGCTTTAGCTCCTTCAGTTTGACAATGAACTCATCTATTCTTTCAGCTATGGCTTCTTTGCTTGCCTGCCACAAGCAGAATAAAAGTCTTCACCCTGGCTGTACACCTCATGCCCAACTCCATCTGCCAGTGTCAATTCCATCACAAAGCCAACACTTGTCTTAATAAGTGGAAACCAAGTGCTTTGGACTTCTCAGATATATAATAAACAAGTCTGAAGAAGATGGGTGGTGTGAGGGGAGCCTCCTTTTCCCACTTATTCTACCAGTTAGCCCATGCACTCGTGCCAGGTTAGGGATATAACAGTAAATAAATCAGTCTTTTAAGGGGGTTCCCTAGCCAGTTAGGGAAACAGATGACTAAATATGCAATTATATTATTTCTGTAATAATAAGACCCAAACAATGGAATATCTAGGAAACACAGATAACCCTAAAGGAATTAGAAGAACTCTTCACAGTTAATGTTATACTAAGATGAGGCCTGGATATACACTGGAGGAGGGTCACAGAAAGGACAATAAGTACAACATCCACAATATCCCAGCAGCTACAAAGCTACCATATTCTTTGAAGGAAAAAAAAAACAAAAAAAAAAAAACTGCCCAACATTCATTCAGATAGATCTGTTACAGGCAAAATTAAACACTATTCAGACATACAAGCAATGATTCCTTGTACTGTTGCAGTGAAAAAAGCCCAGCTCACCCTTCGTGTGGGCTGGTCTTGCTCCAGGCCAGAAATAGCACGGTTGATCAATCCTTCAACTGTGGTCAGAGCTTGTGAATAAGAACAAAAGACAAACAAGTCTTAGCTCTGCTATCAAGTGGCTATATGACCCTGGGCAATTCACCTGAACTCCAGGCCCTGATGCTTTCATTTGTAACAGGCACTGGATTCTATGCAACTCTGATAACAGTGATACTAAAATTCTAAAATTCTCTGTATCTCAAGTTGTGTTACCTAAGCTTTCTGGACATATTAAGCCAATGAAAAGCTCTATGATTATTTGGTCAAGCCCATATACTAGCCACTAGAGCTGGCACTGGGGGTTTTGCAAGAAAATGAGTAAGACTTCAGGTATGTATGAACAGACCTAATAGTCTGATTTTAAACGTACCTCCCTTCTGGCTGAAAGCTGGAATTTCAAAGTCCAGCTCGGGGATTCTTGTGGTAGCAGAATCTGTCTTCACCACTTCTCTGTTCATGTCCTGGGCAGAAAGGAAAACTGTGGTCCAAAGAGATAAGCAGTACAGCTTCTCCTCAGGAAATAACCAGATAGCCACCCTTCATCACACCCCAACCCCTGTATTTCTCTATTCCTGGTGCATCCAGACAACTCTTTCAAAAATAGTACAGGTGGAATACTGCTCAAATAATGAAAAGACTATCCACACTAACTCCACATTCCACACCCTCAGGCAAAATTCACAAAGCACTTTTACAAATCTTCTCTCACTTGAGCAGATGACCCTTTGGAAACACCATTTTACAAAGAAGGAAACTAAGGCTTAGCTATGTGGGGATTTATTGGGAGTCTGACAGTCTGGATAACAGAGAGCTCTGGGGCTGGGGACTTAGCTCAGTGGTTCTGCCGCCTGCCTCACAAGTGCAAGGTCCTGAGTTCATCTCCGGTACCAAAAAAAAAAAAAAA